TCAAGGCAGTATGTACTCGGAACCTAGTTGTAACACTCCTCTTCAATTCCATGTATGATAATATATAATTAATTATGATATAAAAAAAAAACCCCTCTAAAATACAGGCACCATAATATCATCGCGACAAGAATCCCATAAACATCCCAGAACTCCCCCACCCCAAAATCCCAAATCCCAAATCCCAAATCCCGATCAACAACCCGGGTAACACCGCCCGCCCGTGTCCTATCTATCCTCATGCTGTACCACCCACCCATCCATCTTCAGCTTCCCCTACGACAAAACTACAATACCAAGCGACCCCAAGCGAACGGGACAAGAAAAAAAAAAACGAAAACCAAAAACATCCCTTTATGCGGCAATCTTTTCCACGAAAGAAAAGAAAAGAAAAAAGGAATATTGACGAAAGGGATGAATGAAGATGGAGGGAGGGAGAGTAGACTAACGCCTTATAGACATCGGCGACTAGGCTACCATATACTTGGACTCGGCGACTACTGTACGGTACGAGTAGAAGAAAGGTTGCGAAATAGGCGGGGTATCATAAGCGGTTGTGCAACTGGAGTTTGTTGAGGAGGAGGAGGAGGTGAGGGGGGAGGGAAGGGGATTGGCTGGGGCCCAGCTGGGTTAGTTCACGGGCGGAGTCGGGTTTGTTTTTGTTTGGTAGGGCTGGAGGGGTAGACAGGGCTCTGGTATTTGGCAAGAAGTACCGTATCATGCCATACGAGTATGATACTGGTATCGCATAAACTGGCGAGGACCGGCCAGCGCTAGGATGTTAAATTAAAGTGTGGCGGTGTCACAAAACATCACAGTATCCTAGACAATAACAAGATAGTGGCTTATTAATCTCTATCAACAAATCTAATTTTATCTTTACCACTCTCTGAGATCAAATATTCTAACTCTTGAGCTAAAAAAAAAAAAAAGCTGATTCCTGATCTTGAAAATCTCTGAAATTATTTGACTTATTGTTTGTTAACAAAAATAACCAACTACAACAAACAGAAAAATAACTTGATTGTACAACAACCACCTCCTCACCAACCTCAACATCACAATAACAAAAAAAATTAAAAAAAGGTAAATACATAGTAGAAATCAATATTTAGTGTACCATCCATCTACCTTAATAATTGCTTCAATCATATCTACCATTGAACCTGCTAGAGAATCAAAAATCTTTGGGTCAAGAAGTTCCCAACAAGCAGTAATAGCCTCCTCAATAGCTTTTTTGACCTCATTGTCAGAGCCCTTATTGAGATATAGGTCAGGATAATACTTCTGAAGCTTATCTTTCACCAGAGCCCAAACATGTTCAATTGGATTGAGGTTCGGTGAATCAGCTGAAATTTCTATAAGAGTAATTCCCTACCCTCTGAGCCATCCCCTAAAAGGTAAATGTGTCTTAGCATTTTCAATGAAAAAGTAAACCTCTTCCCCCTCAAGATGCTTCTTAATATCCTCTCTCT